GAGTATCTTGGGAGAATTATGTTTCTTTTGCTGCTGCTGCTTTCCTTTTCTTACTTGGATTTCTGAGCATTTCATACCACATATTTTGATAGAATAAAAGTAATAGAAGGTTGATGAAGAATATGATGTGGAACTATGGAACTAATGATTCTGTACTTGAAGCTTGGAGTATGCCCTGTAGAATATACCCAAAGGTGGAGTATTCAAAACCTACTGTGTCAGGATCAATAGGAACCCACACATCCTGGCCACCGTCTTAAAGTATCCTTCAATACCATCTCCTCCTTTTATATGTTCCACTGCATATAAAGAGAAGTCACCAGTATCTCTAACAAGTGAAGACGTGGAGAGGAACCAGTCCTGCCAGCTCCATTCCCCTCTAGACTGGGATAGGATGTGGGAGCACAAATTTCAAGTCACACAATGCCACAGGAGCCAACCAAGATGGAGGATGCCAGAAGAGGCTGCAGAGTCACTGAGCTGCCAGGTTGAGCTGTTATTAGCGAAGTCTAGTGGGACCATGTTTCCTATGACTACTTAGGTAACAGGGCTTCTCCAAGGAAGGGTGAGCTCACTTGGCTTAATGTTTATACCACCTGAGATCTTTTTCCACCAAAACAGTCTGAGCAGAACCACTCTTTAAACCCCTTGCACAGAAGAATTATTTTTGGCAAGAAATCAAAAACATGATCTCCAGAGCCTCCTCCAAAGTCATACCGCCAAGGAAAATTCTACCCAAGCTACACAGGTCCTTACACTAATGGTGCATCTCACATATTTGTCCAGGGTTAACATCTAATGACGCATCCTCCTAGAGAGAAGGTATGATTCAGAAAGACTAGAGAAGTTGATACCTGGCCTCACTCTTAGAACTACACATTGAGCCAAGTTAAGAAAAAGAAGACAGGAAAGGAACAGAAACAGAACAACACTGAGTGGATGGAGGTTGAAAGGGCAAGGTTGGGAGCCATGAGTAGTTCTGAACAGCCACATTCATTCCCTTCATCTTTAAACCTCTGTGAACACTCTGTGAATGCTGACTACGGGTCAGGTACTGCATAAGAAGAGAGGACAGTAGACACACAGGAGAGAAGAGAGAGCAAACTCGGGGTTTAAGTGTAAGTTTCAGATAAGGACCTGGGACATTTTTTAGCCCCTGTTACATGAAGACCTGATATGTCTTTGGATAGATATTATAAGACCGGAGGAGGTCAGAGAAAATGGGCACACTGTGATTCTCTTATGCTTATTTTCTGTCTCAGAAACAGAATTACTATGAAAATTTTGCAGTGTGTGTCCACAGAATTTAATGTGTCTGTTTCCTTTTTTTGCTGATCATCAGTGGCATAACCAGTTGCTTACTTTTCCAACAGCTTCTTGTTTGATAAGTGACCATGTTCCAGTCATTCTTCTTAAGACTGAAAATATCAAGATGAGAGTGGTGGGGATCTTCATGGCCTGGAAGCTCAGATTCCAACAGTCCAGGACAGTCATGCATGAACAAGGTTCCAAACACTTTCTTCTCTTAGAATGAGAGTGTGAAGAGTGTTGTAGGGTGAAGAGAATCCTCATAATAGTTAACACTCCACTGGAGAGGAAACAAAGTGCCCATCATTGAGAGGCAAGTACATGAAGCCATGCACAAAGCCATGAAGGCTGCTATAAAGCATGGGAAATGTGTGCGTGTGCGTGTGTGTGCGTGCGCGTGCGGTGTGTTTGTGTGTGTGTGTGTGTGTGTGTGTGTGTGTGTGTGTGTATGTATTAAATCAAGCTAGAGAGATGAATTCCATTCAGTCGTCAAAGGTCCTGAATGCCATACTAGGAAATATAGTAAGTCATTTGAGCTTTATTCTCTAAACAGGGTCAACTCCAACTTTTTGCCAAGTAGCTCAGTTCTCCCACATTCCTAGAACCCAGCTCTGACCATATCTCCTCTCTTGAAAAGTGACTGAAATTTCTTTAGCAATTACAACTTATCCTGGATCTAGTCTCCTCATCTTGGAGTTGCCCATTGCAAAGCCTTATGCTGGGATCTTTCAAGCATCTTACTAAATGTGATGATTAAACTTCCTTGTCAACTTGACGGGATTTATAGTCATGTAGAGGACAGACATACCTCCCGGGCATGTCTGTTTCCAAAGAGAGGTGTAACTAACTGAGGAGAGATGCCCTACCCTGAAGATGGGTGGCACCATCCCATGACCCTGGGTCCTCACTGAAATGAAAGGTAATGGTAGAAGGTGAACTGAGTATTAGTACCCATCTCTCCCTGCTTCCTGATTGGATGAATGAAAGCAGCCTCCTCACACCCCTGCCATCCTGCCTTCTCCACCATGATGGACTGTACTTTCAAACCATGAGCCACAATAAACCCTTTCTTCCTTAAGGTATTTTTGTCAGAGAAATGAGAAGAGCAAAGAATACACGCAGATATCCATGTTGCATTTTCTCTCTCCCTGAAGTTGAACTTGTTCAACTCTAGGAATGACCCTGAGTACTTTTTACTAGAGCACCTTAGTATTATTAAAATATTCTTGTGTGAAAAAACTCAGTTACTGATGAAGTGATTTGTTTCCCAGAATTTCTAGAAGACAATTGAAAAAAACATTGGAAGCTGGTACCTGTCCCTAGATGCAGATAACCTCTCACCTATTTCCCATCTTAGAGATTACAGGATGCTCTTCTGAGTTTGAAGGGTCTTTATATTTTCTAATGGTCACTATAACTTACTATGATGTCTCTTTTATAAACAATAAAATGTATATGTTTAAATACTAAGACTGTGAAGTAAGTAGCACTGAAGAGCTTCTTCACTAACAAATTTACCCCACTCTAAAAAGGTTATTTTACATAAAACCTAAATACGAGGATTTATTTTAAACTCCATGTTGATTCAGGTGAATTTTGCTTTGCAAACTGTAGAACAGGAAGGAGTTAGTTAGCATATTGCAATGGCAGGGTCCTAAGAGTATTAAACAGAACAAATCCCTTCTGGAAATTAAACAGGAAGTCAGACAAACATCTTTTTCTGCAGTCCCTTTGTCTTGAGCCCAAGGGATAAGGGCTCCTCCTGAGAACAATTAGAAAGGACAGTCTGAAGAAGTTCAGCATGTAGCTTCCTGTGTAGGTCAAACACAAGTCAAGGTCTATAGCCTTTGTTGGTTTTACATTAATTTAAACAAATCACTCTTACTTTCTTAAATATTAAATGACATTAAAGTGCATTTGAATTCAATTTCAAATTTGGCCATGATCAACTAACTTAAAAGCAAACAAGAAAATAGAAATAAAATTATGTCCTGTTTTCTATAAATCAATGATTAATGTATAAAATAAGTTGGAAATATGCAAACAAAAAGTTAAATGTAATAGCAGACAACATACAAAATCTATCAAGAAGAAAAGTAGTTTTTATTTTATGATGTCAAAATAAAATGGGATATCACAGTTACAAATAAATCTTACCTAAAATGCTGTAAAAACAAGGTGTATTGGTCACTTTTCTGTTGCTGTGATAGAAACACTGACGCAAGCAATTTATAGGAGGAAGAGTTTATTTGAGCTTACACTTCCAAGGGAATTACAGTCCATCATGGCAGGGAGGCATGGTGCCTGGAGCAGGAGCAACAGAAGCTAAGCTCTCACATCATCATGCAGGCACAGGAGAGCAACTGGAGATCCAGCAAGGCTTAAGAACTCTCTAAGCCCACCCCCAGTGATGTGCTTCCTCCAGCATAACAACACCTTCTAAAACCTCCCAAAACAGCGCCATTATCTGGGGACAAAATGTCCAAACACTTGGAGCCTACAGGGGACATTTTCATTCAAACCACACAAGAGTCTGTAAGTAAGGGTGATGCACACTATGAAAATGAAAATTATTTCTCCATAGGATCACACTGTTGGTAGACTCTAGACTCTTTCAGACTGTAGACTCCTTTGGAACTGGGGGATAGTGAGGGGATGGGGATGGGGTTTGGAGAGAGAGAGAGAGAGAGAGAGAGAGAGAGAGAGAGCTGTACACAATGTTTCCAGGTTTTTGTCAGTCTAAGAAAGAATTCAGAGACAGAAAAAGGAAATTGGAAGTTTTATTATAGAACAAAAGTGCACACTAAAGTGCAGGCATTCTCAGAGTGAGCTATGTATCTGCTGGGTTTGTGGACAGCATATTTTTTTGGCCAAGATTAACAAAAGAGACCACTATTCATGATCAAAGGTGGGGGGGAAAGGCAGAGGAATTCCTAGAATAGGATTCACTATGCTTTACTGCCCTTACATGGGATTTTCAGATATGTCATGGCTTCTGATGCATCAAGAGAAGAACCATTTCTGGAAGGCTAGCTAACAATTTGGGGACATGATTTGGAGAATGAAGCAAAGGACAGTTGGCAGCCATTGCTGTGAGCCATGTTGGTCTCAATGGCTTTTAGTGGTCTTATTTCTCTGTGTTTGAGTGGTCGTGTGCTCACCATTCTTCTGCAATGCAGCCCCTGTTGCGTGAGTCTCTGGCTGCCAGGCCATTGCTTCTCTTCCTCTGCTGTCTAGCCTGCCAGGGTGATATTCATATTGCTTATTCCAGGGTCCTGTGAATTCAGTGCTGAGAATGCTCAAGTATTTACATCCAAGTTTCCAAATGAGACAGTCTAAATTGCTCCCTAAATTCAGCAAATGACAATGCCTCAAATAAAATAGCTAATTCAGCTATAATTTCCATTCCTCCGTATGTTTCAATACCAGAGCCACAAATATTTCAAAAAGGCATTCATGTATATTTCCAAGATTTTTGTTTTATTTTTGTTATAAAACAATTCGGTTTCTGTTTTATTAAAAATAAAACCAGAGAGGGGCTGGAGAGATGGCACAGCGGGTTGAGAGCACTGACTGCTCTTGCAGAGGACCCGGGTTTGATTCCCAGCACCCACAGGGTGGCTGCGAACCATCCTTAACTCCAGTTGCAGGGTAATCTGAAGCCTTCTTCTGACCTCTGTGGCATTGCACGGCATGGGTGCACTCACATACATGCAGGCAATACACTTATACATACAAAATAAAAATAATTTTGAAAAAATTAAGAAAAAATAAAACCAAACATAGTATTTTTCTAAATAGGGACTAATTTATTCATATTATATTATGTAATGGTATAATATATGCATATATTATCCCATAATCATCATCACTAATTATTTGAGATTTTATCCATCATTATAATTTTCAAAATGAGGAGTCAGGGAATCCCAGTGAGACCAAGTGATGTGGCCAATGCCAGCTCCCAAGTCTGTGACCAAGGGAGGGACATTCTTTGTTTTCTACAAAGCCTATCTACTAACCAATGTTCAGGAAGCAAGCGTTTCTTCAATATGGTTAAGAAAATTTCCTACAGTAGAAACACAAGTATTGGGAAAAAGCAAGCATTTGTCCCAATAACTTCATCAAGTAATGAAAGTCACTTGTAAAGATTTTCTGCCCTTAAGTATGCAGGTTTAAAAGCTATTTAACATTTATTAAAATCAACATCAGGGCACCAAAATACAAAATCTTTCAACTGAAAAAGCCCAAAATATTTCTAAATATTTTGTTATTTTTAAATTAAAACACCCTTATTACCTATTAAAACAATTATCTTTTATTCTATAAATGCCTCAAAAATATTATTACAAAATCTTGTATTTGTAATTCTGACTTGTCTTTAAATGAAGAATGTTTTTAAGCCCTTTGAGGTTGTGAAAAACCTTATAGATCAAACATATATTCATTAATACAGAATGTTAACTGGTTAGATATTTATCTGGAGTGACTAGATCAATTGTCAATAAGAGGTCTGAAATAAGCAGAAACACTTCCAAAAGATGAGATTCAATTGTGAGACCATATCATCATCTGTAAGTATGAATAAACAGATTGTAGAACTTTCAAGTAAAACTCAGGCCTATGATGGAATATTTTAAAGTACAAAGCTATCTTTTTGCTGATTTAATCTAAATTTAATGTGCTGAATTCCGTGACCCAAGTGCTACTTGTAATTTATGATGAAAAGCATTTATTCTTTCTCTTTGAACTGGCCAGCTCAAGATGCAATGTGATTTAAACATTCCTCTTCGCAAACAGAGTGCATGGTTTAGTTTATAATCTGGAATCTCCTGAAGAAAAATCAGTATAATTGAATCCAGATTTTGCTCAATAGCTTGCTGAACTGCATGGTGTACCTTGAATCTAAGCAAAATACAAAAAAGAGAAGTTAAATAATTGATATGTAGTTGTTAGCAGTCAGAAGCTCAACAATCTAAAATTCTTTGAAGAACTTGCATCTTTCAATAAAAATCAGAAATTTTTTCTTAATTTTATCTTTTAAAATTATTTGAGTTGTGAAGACAGTAGCTGTGAAGATCAAGTACAAACTCAAAATTTCACAATATTCACTTACCTTCTGCACAATGGATCTTTTAACAGATGATGAGTTATAACAAAAATGACTTTTCTGCTTCTTTTGATGCTATTGACAATTGCTTCAAGTCCAAGCATACCTGCTTCAAAGTCCCTTTCTTCCAGACAAAATTTGAGAGATTGGTCTTTTTCTTCCATTGGGGAGAAATATTCCCAGACCCAATCTCTGTCTTTATAAGCATGAATTATATATGCTGTATATTCAAATTGCTCTGCATGTCCTTCAATCTCCTTGAAACCAAGAATTCGATGCACTAAAACATTCCAATAAAAAGATATCCTCCAACCTTCAAATTGGATGAGCAATACTACAGTTATAAAAATCAAAAGCATACTGGTACTGATCATGAAAAGCAGTTCAAAGGGGGCACTGTCTTTGCAAGATGATGTGTCAAAAAGCATCACCGGGAATCCGTGGTACTGAGGTGGAGTGTTGCAGAGGTAATGACTTGATAGCTCAGAGATGTTAGTATGGGTCTGATTAATCCAGTTGACAAACCAAGAAATACTTTCACATGTACAGTCAAATGGATTAAAGCGCATATCTAAATTACTCAGGTTCTTGAATGCTGGCCCAAAAACATTCTTTTCAACGGATGTTATGAGGTTTTTCTGAAGGTTCAATGACCTTAGGGACACCTGGTCATCAAAAATAGATGGCAGAAGAATGTTTAAGTTATTCAATCCTAAATCGATGCTCTTTAGTTCAAATAAGTTCTTGAACACATCAAGTGGGATTTCGTCAAAGCCATTAGACTCTAAATTAAGGATGTGTAGGCTAGAAAGACCCTTGAGGAAATTAACAGGACCACCAGGGTTTGCATGTTTCCAGAGCCTTGCTAAGTTGTTATGCTGAAAATCCAGAATTTCTAGTTTCTTAAGACCTTCCAACGTTTCCTCATTTATGTTGGCGATATTGTTGTTGCTGAGATCCAGAATGGTCAAGTTACCAAGAGGGTGGAAAGGAGAAGGTGAGATATCTACATTTTTAAGGGCCACCCTCCGGAGCATCAGTCGTTTAAGGCTTGGAACCAAAGCAAAGGAATTACTAGTCAGTCGGAGGTTTTTGTTATAGGAAAGGTAAATTTCAAAAATATTTCCTAGGCCTCTCCACTCCTGACCCGTGAGTTCTTGATCAATTTCATTAAGGCCGAGATCAAGAATCTTGACTTGGCCCAACCAAGAGAAAGCACCACTCTCTATTTTTGAGATATGATTTTTGGTTAAGTTGAGTGTGAGCAAAGGAGACTGGGCAAGTGACAAAAATGTTTCATTCTTTAAAACTTGCAAACTTGTGAAAGCTTTGGAAAGACTTAAGTACTTCAGACTAATCAGTCCTGTGAATATATTGCTTTTTGTGCCTGGAATATTGTTATCTTCCATGTTGAGATACTCCAAACATTTTAGCCACTTAAAGGAAAAATCATCTATCTTAGGGAATGAAGCAAGGGAAATACTTTGCTTAGTAAAAGATCGTTTCAAATTCAGGTATCTCAGATTGAAAAGTCCATAAAAAGAGCGAGAAGATAAATGCTGTATGTTATTATACTCCAGAGAGAAATATTTCAGATGTGGAAGCCAAGCAAAAGAATCATTAGCAATGCTTGTCAAGCCAGTATGGGAAAGATCTAACATGGTAAGATTTGTCTGCTTCAGTCCAGAAAAAGTGGCGTTGCTGGTTCCATACAACTGGTTGTTATTCAGAGACAGATTCTGGATGCTTGTGTTTGAAAGTTCCCAACAAAGCTTCTCTGTGAGATGAGGGTTCAGTTGAGCATTGTTCAAAACAAGGTCAAATATTTTTCCAATTGCATGAAAACACCCTGGAGAAAACTATCAGTACAAGAAAAAAGAAAAAAGAAAAAAAAAGTGAACCAAGATATAACAGGCTCCATAGGACTCTTAAAATACTTAAATGCAATTCTTTGCCTAGTCTCCTTCCCCTTTCACCATATGCCTTGGGGAGGGCATCGCTCTCGGTTCCTCTAATGCAGTTCCTTCCTCACTCTGTGCCTGTAACACTTACCTTCTGCATCAGCCCCTTTCTTCCCTGACCTCCCAGGTTAGCTGTGCCTCCTAGTACTTTTGCTATATCACATTAAATTGTAATTAATAAAATAGCTGTGAAATCCCTAATGGGGTGATCCTGATTATGTCTTGGTGACCACTCATCAGTAGTGAAATAGTGACACATATTTTCCAGCTGGTCAGCTATCATTTTTGTCTTTCCACCTAGATTTCCTTCTGAGTTTGTGATGGTGTTTGTTTGCACTCCATTATTAGAAGCCTCAGCTGTGCTAGCTCTCAGTGTTGAGCCAAGAGAAGAGAAGGTGTAAGTGAGGGAGTCTAGAGAGAACAGTGGCCAGCTCTTGGCACTTGCACACACCGTGAGAGAAAAGGGCTTGGATTTCTCACATGTAGCTTGTAAAATTTCAGGCTAATGGAGTATAAAAGACAGGCGTGTGAAAGAAAGTATGCTTCATTTTTTAAGGAGTTAAAACACAAATCAGGGAATTATTAAATTGTGGTACATTTGCCTGACAGCATTGTTTATAGCCCCCAAAATTAAGTTTCAAAAAATTCCTAATTGCATGGAGGATGTTCAATGACATGAGATTAATTTTATACTCAAGAGGCAGGGTACCACAGCCACTGAGAGCGTGAGCTTGGGCACCATTTGGTCATCTACACTTCTTCTCAGTTTACTCTTGTGTAAAAATAAAGATAAGTTGTTTAGGAAAACCATATATACAAATATATATCTGTACAATATAGGGATTACACATAAAGATAGATTATAAAATGATGTTACTTAACTTCTTACCTCTTTAATCTGATTTGATGACAAGTCCAATTTTTGTAAAGAAGAATTGCCAAGGAAATTGAGTTCTTCACTTCTTAGTGCAAGGATTTTATTATTGGATAATAGAAGCTCTTGGAGATTTTCCAGTTGGGGCTGAGTTCCTAGCTTTGTAGATGATAAGCCATTATGAGACAGATCTAATTTGATTAGATTCTGAGAGTAGAGGAACATAGTATACATGTTAGAAAGTATTGCCATCAGAAACAATCCCTCCTATGTAAGAAAACACTGGATTTATCTCAATAGTCACATTACTCTGATTTCTCTCTATTATTCTGTACGAGTAATCTTTGTTGTTTTAATCACAACAAACACCATTGTTGCTTGGATTTACTTTCTTCACAAATCACATTATTTCTTCCACCAAGCTAAAGAACTTAAGGTTATTATTTAAGATATATACATGCATACACATAAAGTTTTAAAAATAAATAAATCAGTTTCTTTTTCAAAACTGTCCACAGAGCAAGCCTGGGGATAAGAACTGCAATCTTCCACCCCTTTCTCTAAAGTCTAAAATCTTCCTGGGCCAACTGCCAGGAACAACAAATATTAAGAAAAAAGATATAAAGACAATATATAATTTATTTATGGTACAAGGAATATCCATGTGGCTTATTACATATAACATCAAACCTTGGAAACTAGTTACAGAAAAAAGAAGAAAAAAATATTACTTTAAGAAACACAGGTAGGGGGCTGGAGAGATGGCTCAGTGGTTAACAGCACTAACTGCTCTTCCAGAAGATCCAGGTTCAGTTCTGAGCACCCATATGGCATCTGACAACCCTTTGTAACTCTAGTTCCAGGGATCTGATGCCGTCTTCTGATTTTTATCAGCATTGCATGCACAGGTGTACTTACATGCATTCAGGCAAAATACTCATACACATAAAAATAAAAAAAAGAAACAGGTAGAACTTTATGTCCTATAAATTCCTAGAGTATATTCTATTGAGCGTTCAGTTATGGAAGGTTTGGATTGTAACTAGCACAAACTTTGGTTTGTGTTATTGTTACCGGGGGATATTTTATCCCTCTGTTGCTTCTGCACTCGTACTCCTCAAATTCAGGCAAATGGTAAGGAATACCCCAATGTCTACTAAGGAAAGTCAATCACAATGTCTATCAAAGAAAGTAAGACTTTTATCTATCTTTTTTTTTTTAAAAAAAAAATACCATTTTCCAAGTATTTCTCTTATCAGATTCGAGATCTTTGCATACAAAGGCAGTTCCCACACATTATAATCTAAGAAGGCTCAAGGAAAGATTTCAAATAGCTGACCACCAAGTTGCTTCTCAACAAATTAAAAATTGTGCATTTCTCCTTGGCATTAGAGAAAGATCAATGCTCAATATTTTTACGAGGCCATAAAATAACAAAAAGAGACTTGCAAATGACTTTGGTTTAACTAAAGCACTTAATACTTTCTCAAATTACTAGATAATAAAATACATTTTTCATAGATTTAAAATTCAAGCAGTCTTTAAAAAGAAGTGGAAGACATTAGAAAAGTGATGTTTTGAGATTTCTTAAACCAAGAGTATGTAATTTTTAGCCAAACATTTTGTTTTACCATTGTATCAATTTGTTAGTTTTATTTAAGTCAGAATTTGGGCTCAACATATTTCTTACTACTTCACATGAAAATTTGGTAGCATTGCAAGTTTATTTCCCATGTTCCCCGTGGAATAGTCTGATGTGTCTATGATCACAATGTTTATCTTCTAACTCCTATTTCAAATAAGAGAAAGCAAGAGAGACAGATTTCTTAATGCTCAAATTGACTCAAACTTTAGAAAACATTTTCCATCACAATGTCCATGTTTGCGGGTGAGTCCCAGCAGTCCTAGTGGGGGCTGATCAGATATTATATTCTTACTTCAATAGATATTAAGGCTTTGATGAATGACTGACTTGAAAACTTAGCTTTAGATAACTTGAGATAATACTTTGCATTTCTTAAAAAAAAGTAAACACACTCCTCTTACCTTCTGATTTTTGAAAGGATTGTTTTCAATTTTGTGTAGTAAGTTAGACTTTAGATGGAGTTCAGTCAGATTTGTGCAGAAGATGAAAGTTTTATCAGAAAGTTGGGATAGTTCATTGTGTTGAAGGTTCAAAACTTTCAACAAAGGTAGTGTTTGGCACAATTCTGGCTCCAGTTTTGAAATGGAGTTAAATCCTCCATCTAAGATAGTAAGTTGGCTATATCTTGTAAAATTGACAGGTGGTAATCTTCTGAGTTGGTTGTGGGTAAGATTCAACACTGTTATGTTTGTAGGGAGGTCATCAGGAATGTGTGTTAACTTCAAATGGCTGCAGTCAGCTGCTTCATGTCTCACGGTGCATGTGTTGGTGGAAGATGCACACAGAATCCACAGGGGCAAGAGTCCCCAGAAGGAGTAGATTTGGTAAGACAAATGCCCTTTCATGATTCTACCCTGTGAAAGAAATAGAAAAGTCATGGAAATTATTAATCCAAATCTACACATGGTCTTTCTATTCATAATTTTTGTGTGATACAAGTATATATTGTGCAAGAAATGCATCAAGCAGAAATAATTCAAATAGCACAAACAGAAATGATATTCCTTTCTTGTCTTTTACCTCCACCAAGTACAGTGTTCCAAGGCGACATTTCTTGACAGTTTCTGTTTTAAGTTCTCATGATCATTTCCATAAACTTGAATAAGATGCTTGCCCTTCTATTTCTCCTATTACCTAAGCGTTAAATTCACACAATAAAGACAAGGAACTCAATCTCGCTAGTTCATTTTCTTCACAACTTTTTGGTTATTTTATTTTCTCTATTGTTACACTTACAATTTTTTTTGCTCTTTTTGAGACAGGGTCTCCTGTAGCCCCAGCTGGCCTGGAACTCACTATGTAGACCAGGCTGACCTTGAACTCACAGAGATCTGCCTGCCTCTGCCTCTCCAGTGCTGGGATTAAAGGTGTGCGCTACCACACCCGGCAACATGTACAATTTTAAAGGCTAACTCTAAAACCAGTTATAAATCAGCAAACTCTAGACAACATTCCCTTCTTAAAATATTTTTATTGGTACATAATAATTATACATATTTATGAAATACAATTAATATTTCAATACATATATATGATGCATAATGAACAGATCATAGTAATTTGTGTATTTAGCACTTCCTTAGGTTAAGATCATCCTAAATCTTTTTTTACTAAGCTATTTTGAAACATGCAATTAATCACTGTCAACCACCTGCCTTATCCCACTCTGCTATTTAAGCTGCACCCTTACAGTTGTTAACTACCCTCTCTCTGTTCTCTCTCTCCCTTACATTCTTGCCAACCTCTGGTAACTACTGCTCTATAATTCTAGATCACCTCCCAAAGGAGAACATGTGAATATTTGTCTTTCTGTGTCTGACATATTTCATGGATCATACTGTCCTCTGGGCTCATCCATGTTGTTACTAACTTTAAGATATTTTGCTTCCTCTAAATGTAAGGCATTTAATTCTTTCATTTTCTCATTTTCCTCACTAACTTTCTACAGTTACTTTTCATTTCGTCTTATATAGTGTTATTTTCAAAGACTATACTTAAAACTGTATTTCTTCATTAACCAACTTCACATAGAATAGCTTGATGTCTTGTTTTGTGATATAGGAGATGCCTAATGATGTGTTTTTACTACATTTTTTCCAACCTTACATTCCTAAAACTGCTAGATATAGTATCAGTTAACATTTAGGATTTTTGGCCTGTAGCATTAAGATTAATTAAGGTTAATTAGAGAAGGCTATTTTGAGCTGGCACTCATAATTTTATGATTGCATAGGTAAATATTCCTGAAGAACTAGTGAAGCTGGTAGGAACACAGCCAAGCATCAGACCCTGACATAACAGGATCTGCTTTCTAATCATAGTGCTTCTGCTTTGCAACTTTTGGTGAATTAATTCATTTCTCAGAGATTAATTTTCTTGTCTTTGACACAGATAAGTTCTTCCAGAGGTGACTGTAAGGGTTAAAAGAGGTAAATCAAGTGCAGTCTTCTAGTTCTTGTTGTAAAGCAATATCATACTAAAAGCACTAGTCTTAACCAGTGTAGTAATACTAGGACTTATGAGGGCATAGTTTTAACTATGCTCTAGATTGTAAAATTTGACTTTATGATAAAAACCTATGAAAACCATAAATTATATCATGCAGGAACTAGATATCAGGCAGATGGCAACAGTAGAAACAGCCAAGCAGACAACGCATTTGAAGTATAAGGGACTTCATGAAGGAACAGAGATATTCTAAAAGCTTCTCATTAATTCAATCTTGGGTTGGGCATGAATTGTAGTACAGCTTAAGTTCCCTTCACAGATTGTGACCACCAGCATTTTTCCTGAACAAAGACACATGACCTTCGTCTAAGGAGGCCAGTGCCTTTTAACACTGGCCTTTTTTCAATTTTTCTTTAAAGAACAAAAATAAAGTCCTGGGTTATGAGACATCCATAGGTCATTTTCCCTAGTATTTGGCCTGAGTATGAAAAGTAAATTTAAGCATTTTCTGGTATATTATCAATGAAGTCCAAGGGCCTTTGAAAATTTTAATAATAATGTTTGATTGTGGCCTTACTATGCCAACATGATAATTACATGAACAACTAAAAAAGCTGAACTCTTAAATTTAGTTTTTCAGAATGGGCCTGAACTTGGAGGACACTCTTTCCCCTAGAGACCTCTTGGTACCCTCTGTCTCCTGGAATTGTGCTAATGGAATTGTCCTGCTTGATCTCTGGCCCTAGAATTGCATCCTGAATGTACACCCACCCATAATTTTATTCAAAGTGGTTTCTTCAGCTGGGGAAGTACAAGCTTGGCTTCACCCTAATATTTTTTTCTGGCAATACATTGTGTTTTAATCATAAACATATATCCTTGAAATAAGTACTATTTTAAAGATCTGGATATAGAGGTAACAGTCATATGAAGAGTCTTTTTTCTTTCTTTTTTTTTTAAACAGGGCAATTTTGAAACGTTCATATGACAGTCTACTGGAATTTCTTGACAAGGGCTTCCAAAAGCATCCCTCTATTGGGTTCCTCCTCATTTTTCTTTTGTCTGCCAAGGCTATACTCTAGAGTGATGGATTCAGGATTTGCTTTCAGGCATTTTGATAGCTGTTGGGAGTGGCTAGAATCACTGTCAGTTCTCTCTCAAAGGCTTCCAGATAACTGAGGGGTTGCTGAGGTATATGAATGACCTGAGAGTAAACACACTGGAAAGCCTTTACCCAGCATGGGCTTTACCTTAATTGTAACAGACCACCTGGCCTTTTCATCCCTAGTTCTAGAATATCTCATTCATCTGCAGACAATGGAGATGGGTGCCCTACCTTTCAGCGTGATGTTAATTCTCAAGCTTGCCCTCATTCATTCATTCATTCATTCATTATCTTTTTGGGTGTAGTACCAAATTACAGTTGCCAGGAAATGAGATCAGGTGCTGTAGGATCCTGAGACCCTCTTCATTCACCCGCTACCCCCAATCCCTCCAGAACCCCACTAATTGCTCTTTTAGCTTCTGTAAAATGCTTGGCTGCTGCTATAGACATTCCTAGACATGTCCTGGCATGCCCTGACCCCCGCCTGCTATCCCCCCCCCATTCCAGGAAACTATAGATTAAGCAAGTCCAAGCATGAAAACTGCCCTATAAGGTAAAAATGGAGACTCCTGGCCCCACAGATAACACAGTCAGCACATTCCACAGCCCTGAGAATAGCACCTACCAATAAGAAACTTCCAGGGCTGCATTTTATACATCCAACCAGTTTAAAATTATGTTGGTGTGA